TCACTTTAGTTGATGACAGCAGATAAATGATTATCAGCAGAGGATTTATCAATGTGGTCAGCCGTTCCATTCCTCACTGTCCCGTCAAGGTTATTAGACTTGGTTCCTCCATTTAAAGGCCAAATAAATATGTAAACATGTCATCCTATACTCAGCCAGAAAGGTGGGGCCTCATTTATATTACATAACTGACCTTTAATTACAGCAGCTGCATCAGAGCAGTCGTATGAAATGTATCGTCCCTTCAGGTATCTAAAATCAGACTGGTGTCTAGGGCTGGGTATCAAACCAAAACACTTTCTTAGTGTGAGTGTCCGTAGAGTAGTAGGTATAGAAAATGTATGCTGTAACTGTCAAGTACCAAAAGCTGGAAGGCATGCATGCGTAAGATGCCAAAACACTGCAGGTGGTGGTTTATAATACTCTGAGACAGTGTATACAACTTTGGAAAGTTATCACTTTGTCAATCATTTGTCTTCCCTCTTGATGGAAAAAGTACACATACTTGCATGTATGTGAATGGCTAACACTATTCTATTCTCACTAAAGTAAACAAGGGTTTATATGCGTTTTAAAAATCTTCCTACACCACAACTGTAACAATGACAGTGGCGAACAATATCAGTGGGATCACTTTCAGAGCAATATTGTTATATACAACTTATTCAACGCTTATATAACATAGTATTAGGCTGCAAACAAAATCTAAAAAAGTTATTATACTTGAGAAAAAGATGGTTCTCTGAAGTTCGCTTGGTCCTTACTGATGTCCTCTTGTAAACTAGTTTTGGATTGTCTGAACTCCTCCCATCTTTGAAGAACTTCCTGAACCCATAATATCACTCTGGTTTACTTCTTGTTTTCTGCACAATGTACAGCAGTACATTGTTATCATTATAATTATTGTTATTCATAGTCATTGTTATACTATAGTTATACTGCAGTTCTTATTTACCTGTTGACTTGCATGGCAGGACTGAGACACAGTGAGTGAGTAGGGCTTGAATATTACGTTTTGATTAAGACTTTTCGCTTAATAAATGGTATAAATTGCATCTTGACTTCTATATCAATTTTTCTGTTAAACGCATCACAGTGAAGAGCCCACTTACCGGCTTTTTTTATTGATAGGAGTCGCTACAAGCACCTTTACTCTGGATAACCTCAACAGTTTCTGTTGCTTGTATATCTAAAACCTGGGCAAATAAACCCCAAACTATATGCATGGCCAGATAATAATAAACGTAAGTAAAAAAAAAAAACCCATTTATTTTTGGAATAACTAGTAGTAAATAGTAGCTTTAATATTAGCAGTTTGCTTGGATGTTTATTTCATACAAGTTTTACTTTTTTGTGATGTTAACTTCCCGTAGTCTTTGATAACTTAAACTAACTTAAATCATAATTTTGCTAATTGACTGTATTTTACTTATAAGAACATCTGCTTGTATTTAAACACCATTAAACAATTGCTTTTTTCTTTTAAAAAAAGATCGTTTTGGTACCAGTACCAAATTTCAGGTATCATATTGGCAATACTGACATTTTTTAACAATACCTAGCCTTACTTTTTTATAATATATCACCATTACCACAGTGATCTTTTTGTTTCCATATTTGTTATCTTAATGTATGTCTTTATATCTGTATGTGGTCTTTTCCTTGTTTCTTCTGCTTTGTTAAAGATTTATGGGAGGAAAGATATGAAAAGACAAAGACAATCTACCATCTTGCAACATGCTCTTGTTAATTTTGAACTAATTAGTTACTGGCTGCAGCCCAATCTTTTAATCTTCCTTTATTCTCCAGAGCCCTCTGGACACTTCTGGTAAACCTAAATTGTGGCAAGAAATGCTAGGCTAGTGGTTTAACTCGTGCAGTAGATGTTGAGTACAGAAAGAGTTGAGAAAAGGGTCACATACACAACTGATGTTTAATTCTAAAAAAACAACGGCACTGTGCAGTGAGTGACTCAGAGGTGACCAGAGAGTCGGGTGTTCGGCAGCTGGAAGGGTTTGAGTTCAAACCCCACCAATCTCCCAGTGCTTCAGAGAGCATTTCATCTCCACTAGTGTGTGTCACTGGATGCTGATTATTAGGCAACAGACCTGACACTTACTCAGACGTTATTTCAATCCCTGACTGACAAACACAGACACACAGTGAGAAAAGTACTAACTGCTGAACTGTTCCCATGGTAACACGGACCAATAGATCTCAGCTATTGACTGAGGATGAAGATCTCTGTAGACCTATTAAAGAAAACACCTACACACACAAATTCTGCGAGTGCCCGCAGACACGAATGCTCACACACACACACACACATACATAAATCACACACCAGCTAGGCATCAGCCTCCAAAACATATTTTTGTTATAAATGGAGATGGAGAATACAAAAATAAACGGGGAATGTTTTCCGTCTAAAACGACCTGAAACAGCTGAATGCTTGAGTAACCAGGTAAGAGAGTCAAATCTCCCCAAGCCATGCTGTGGAAAAGCTTGCTCTAAAGTGGCACAGCAGCATGATATAAAAGAGGATATGTTGAGAGTGAGTGGGCGATTTGCTCAGATTTAACTGGGGAGGCTGGGCACATAAACTGTCTTTTTCCAAATACTTTGGCAATCACTTCCATATTCAGTATCTCTGGCTTTCATTCTCAAATCTGCACCTAACAATGGGGTATGCATTTCATACGTCTGTGCTAAACACAGGGGCGCAGTCATTCTTTATTACCCTCAAAGGACACCCTGAGTAGTGGTGGCATGTGTTAGTGAGAGGAAGCCGTATTTCATTATTTTCTGATCTGAGAGTTTATAAGACAGATTGCTTAGGTGCTACGACTGAGAGAGTGTTCTTCTGACCCTCTGTGTGCCAGTTAGCCAGTCAATCACTTAAATACTTATCAAAATATAAAATAGCAGCAGGCAAACAAAGCAGCAAGTAAACCAATCAACAATTTACTCACTCCTGTGATGTCAATGTGAAACAGAAAAAGGCCATTTGTTCTGCTTTTGGCTTCAAATGACTCAATTCTAGGAAAATGGAGAGGATGATTTTTTTACGGCTTGTTATTTTTCAAGGTTGTGGTTGTGTGTGGTGTGTTTAGGAGGGATATATTGTTATGTGGCACCAAATTATGTTTGCCTGAGAAGGTATTATTTGTTGTCCATAAAAGCAAATGATCTCAGTGGATAAAAGAGGCATCTTCAGTTAATCAGTGCTTCTACGAGATCTACACATATCGCCTGGTGACATTTAACAATAATGAGAATAATTTTATGGAGACCTGAGAGCCACTTATCAATTCATTGCCACCACATATTGCAGACAGCCAAGGGTTACTTTCAGGTCAGATACAATATAATTATCAGCAAACATTTCATGAAGCATATTCACTCTGTATGAAATGAGATGTTGACCTAATGTAGAAACTAGGTAGGTGTATTTAAAGCAGAGCTTGGGTGGGGGCTGACTTACCTTCTTTGTATTTGTGTATTATTTGTATAGCGACGGTTAAAGATACAGACCTGTGTGTTGCTTTGGTTCATTATGGTTGAGAAAAAGTAACATATATTTTTAAACTTCAGCAGCTCCATGCCTCATACTGAAAACCCTCCACATTGTCTGTGAAACATCCTGAGTAAAACTGAGTCATTATTCCTGGAAAGAGACATTTGACATTTAGGTTTTTCAAATGTCAACTTCAGAGCTGCCAGCACCAAAGTTGAAATTCCATTCACATCCAGTCTCAGTGGCCAAGATCTCCGAACCTCTGTAAATAAAACCAAACTTTAATCTATTTGCATAGCTAGTTATTGGTAGGGTTACATGGAAAAATATGTTGTTGTTGCCAGTTGCATCTCTGAGTACATCTGGAGCTGGCTCGAGCAGTTGGATTTGAATCTCGGAAGCATTTACATCTGGGTTTTATAGATTTCTGTTTTTTTTTTGTATGGGCAGCTTTCCCACTTTGGTTCAGTTGTATTCATGCTTAACTCTCTGTGATACTCATTTGTTTTCAAGAACCTGTCAAAAACATAATCAGTGCAAACTTGACTTCGTCCAGTCAAGGCCTCCTCCATGGTTTCTTGGAGGTTGGTTGGGGTTGAGATTTATTTTATTTAAGAGTTCAGTCAAGCACCTTCCAGTGCTTTAAAAACATTCAATGTATCCCTTTAACAAAACCTCTGGGGAGTCCAAATACTAAGCAAGTAATAGCAAAATAATGTCTGAAAACGGATCAAAAATATCATTTCTTTTTGTTGGCAATATTGAGAGAGCTGTAGTCAATGAGACTGAAATATGTAACCTCTTTGATGCTATTTTCGTGGTTTCCTCAGATGGCTGTGAAGACAAGGAGATCATACATTATTTATCTGTGCCGACTATGAAACGTCCCCTATGGATCTTGTTCGAGGTTGACCACCTCGGGGCTCATGCTCCATGAATGAATAAAAAGTTTCATCTTTAATACAAAGAAACATCCGGCCGCGGAGAGCGCGCTGTGGCGGCGCAGCGCTGCGGTCCGCTGTGCGCTCCGGCTGCGTGTTTGGGGACGTGACATCGGTTAGGGCCTGTGTGTGACCACACTGATGCTTTAAATCGATTCATATCTTTAAAATGCAGTCAGACCAATAAATCAAATTAGTGAAAAAATACATGCTGTGAAAACAACAACAATGCCCCCAGAGATCAGTAAAAACAGCTCCAGACGCATCGAGATGCCTGCCTTATCTTACACAAGCCACTGTTGTTTTTAGTGGTTATATCTAACAGTCTGATGAGATCTGCCACACACAGACATTCTCCAGAACTGGCCGATAAAGAACTGCATTAATAATATAATAGGATGATATCAAGCCAGCTTGAGACTGGGAGCCAGAGCATTCAGCGCCACTCCGGTTGTGGTGTTTAAGGTTGAATTCTTGGATTATAAGGAATAAAAAGGGCCACTCTCACAGGTTGGAAGATAACACAACATCAGTGTCTTACCGTCAGCGGCCAAGGAGCTCTGCATCATCAGCATCAGCACCGCGCCGATGGTCACAATCCACCGGGCCAGCATCCCATCCAGCGCCCGCGTCCTCCTCCTGTTCCTCGGCGAACAGACGGCCACCATCCCGGCGTTCAGCATCCATACCGCCGGAGAGGAAGAGCAGGGGTCTCCTTTATTATTTACCCCTCCAACTCCGGGGCCACCGCTGCTGGAGAGGAGCGCATGTTTGGGAGCCATTGGTCAACCAATTAATCCTGAATGGAGAGCATCTAACGGCGCTGCTGTGGTGAAAGGCATCCGATCAACGTGCCCCCGGTGCGGACAAGCAGGGCTCGGCTCTCCATGAGCCTGCTGGAGGCTGCGGGATCGATACGGAAACAAAGAGTCTCACCGAGTCTGTCTGTGTGTGTACGCGCGCAGTGTGAAGTCTGATGTCCCTACTGCGACCGCAAGGCGCTCTCCATCTCCGCTGGCAGCTGCAGCAACACACGGTCACAGTACCGGAAACCAGCCCATCCTGCCTTCAAAATAAACGCCTGCAAATCGCCTGGAAGTGCATTTGGCATGGTGTGGTTAAATGGGCACTTTTTTTTTTCACAGTGGTGTTTAGTGTAGATAGCCTACTAGCTGTAGTATACATTGAATAATGTCTTCTATGGCTCATCATTAGGATCTGGCTTTGGAAACTTGGGTCCTACTCAGAGGTTTAATGCTAATGATCATGTTTCTGTTTGTGTCATCAGCTACAACATATACACAGGCTGAGCTACCGCAGTGGTGCTGTCCCAACACAATGCTTATGAACACACATACAACACGTGTTAATCCTTATGATTAAACTAGGGCTAAAGATTCGTTTGTAAAAGGCAGAAACAATGTGTCTGAACAATCTGCCTGAGTAAATCAGGTCGGCTGAACCAGTGATCTCTTTTAAGTCTCTTCTTAAAACACACTTTTATCAGAGAGATTCAGATTTCAGAAGTATCCTTTATTTCCTGAATGTTTTTCTTTTCTTTTCTTTATATGACTTGTTTTTATTTTATGTGAAGAACTTTGTATCGTTGGTTTTGAAAGTGCTCTATACATTTTTTCTTCTCTTCTTCATTATTATTATTATTATTATTATTATTATTATGATTATAGT